ACTACTCCTTGCTCCTTCTTGCAAGACAGCGAGTTGGCTCCAATATGTTCCGACGCATTGCATGCGCACACACAGTGTACACTTTCAGGACACATCTATGCCTATAAGGTTAACTGCATGTTTCCATGCCTTCAACGTGGAGCTTTTCATCTTGCCTTTAGTTAGCCCTATAGTGCCATGGCTACTTCCAAAGTTCGAAAAGTCCAGCTCACCAAGGCCGAAAAGCAGGAGAGGTTTTTGAAGCTTGAACTCTCATTTTTCCTCAATCAAAACCCCTGGGTTTCTCAAGCTTCTTTTGAGTAGAAAAGAAGTTGCAAAGAGGTGTTTCCGCAAGTAACATATTATGATGCTTCTTCACTTAAGATGTTGAAGGTCGAGTTTGGGTGTCTGGCTTTTTGAGTCGCCATGTGACCACTACTGGCGCAAACCCCTTCATGGCCACTGAATGAACATCCACCGAAGTTTCAGCGGTGAAGAGGCTTTGAGAACTTATGGGGGTCTTGTAACCTGTTGTATTTGCACCCACTGATCCCTCTTCACCAGGAGAAGCGTCGGAGACGCAATGCCCACCGCCGCATTGCTCGTGTCCCAGCAGACCACCAACCTCCTCTGTTCCGCTGCCCTTTCAAGCCACGATCAACGCTGCATCCCAAGCTCGCCGGCGTGTGATTTGGCTAATCCAGAATTGTGGCCATTTAGACCTCATGCCATGTTAAGATTCTTGAAAAAGGTCTGAGTTTTGAACAGAGCTGACTTGGAAAGGTGTGATTACTTCGAAATGTGGAGGAGGGTTTACTCATCTCTTGCAAACTGCAGGTTGGAGTTGCTTGTTCTAGCTGGCCTGCCTTTCTGCATCCTGTCATTGGTTGAGATGACCATGTCTCACATGACCTATCCTGGATTGGAGCCTTGGATCAACTAGCTGTGAGAATGCCTGCAGTGGTTGGTCAGCCCAAACTGGAAACACCGTGCAGTCTCCCGTAGTGGTGACTAGAATGCGATAGAATGGACCACATGTTTGTATTCTCAGGACTTGGCCTGCGTCGAGTACTTTGCTGGCATCAAGACCGTGGCCCGTGGCTTCCAGTGCTGGGCTCATCTTGAGGGAATCCAAAGCTTTCACCGCCAAAGAACTTGTGAGAAGTACACAGCTTTCGTTATGAGAAGCTATAGATGCTTTAGTGACTAAACTTTAGTGGGCTCTCAAAATTGTTTCTCAGGCATTTTGGATACCCAGCTGCTTCCTATGAGATTTCAGATGACCCAGTGATGCAGGACCCCTGTATGCCTTTGCTCTCAAGAAACCAGCCATGCAGAAAGTGAAACGACCGCAGCTCAAGCATTTGCCAATCTAGGACATGCTGAACCCGCTGGGCTTCGTGTACCACTTGGCGCTGTCTCTGCGTCTGGTGGCAAAGGCTTGGTTTTTAGCGTTAGCGTGTTTGAGCTACCTCATGTCTCAATGGTAAAGTGGAAGGTGAAAAGGGGTCAGGTTGAATGAACAGAACGGTTCGTTTTTCTTCTGTTTACTATCTCTTTGGCACATGCTTCGGGGCCGATGCCAGCTCAAGCTCTGACTCAGGCAGGGCTCGCCTGGTATGCGCCGGTCTGCTCATCGTGGATTTGGCTCAATCGGAAACTCGGGATAAATCTAGCCAGAGATCAGCAAATCATTACAAGCAATATACTTTGTATGCTGAGCACGAACCTGGAAACTCTGTTTGTTTGAGTGCGTCAGCATCTAAGTGGCACAAGCGGCCGCAGTCAAGATCGACCACTAGGATGGAAAGGAGTTGCTTCAGTGGAAGCTGCGAAGCTTGGATCAAATTACAAATTGAATCACACGTCAGTCAACAAACTTGGATTGCGCGACAATTTGGAAAAGAACAGTTTGCATTTGTAAAGCCTCTTCTGCACATGTTTGCCCATTCTGCGCCGCACCTCTCCCAAGCTTCAGCAGGGGCAGCAGGGGTGATCCAAGACCTGGGCGAGGAACCACCATGTCTGATCATGAAGGGTCAGACTCCGAACTCTCTTTGTCTGGGCCAGAAGAGCTCAGCTACGTCCAAGCTTTGCAAGAGCTCGGGGAATCTCTCTATGATTCCATGGGGGAATCATGTCACTTTGTTTCCGCGCGCAGCATTTCAAAACCTAGGAACTAATAATGATGTGCCACAGTGCTCAACTCCATGGTGACCTATTTATGCTTTGTCTTGTTTTCCAGCTTTCCAACCCATATCAACTACCAGGACCTAGCAATTCCACCTCTGGGTGAAACTCCTGGGCCAATCCTTGCTGGAGATTTTTTGAAAACGGGCGAAGACCTGGTGAAGCTTGGCATTGTTCTTTGTGAGTTCCTCTTGAAGGTTGAGCTTTGAACTTTTCTTTTGAATGTTTGGTTTGCTTCGGGCTTTTGCTTCGAACCTTTCCATCAGGAAGAGCAACGCGTGGCTCTTGACCAAGCTGCTGGAGTTTGGGCCCTTCACGTGCAGGTCGCCATCCAAGCCAGAGTTGAGGGTCCTTTGGCGAGCGTTCCAGATTCGCAGTAAGGCTGGAGAATGAGTTTGTAAGGTTTGACCTGTGCTTCAATCAATCCTGTGCACGCTACAGAAGGTCTGATAGAAAATCACCACCTCATTTTGTGACAGGGCCTGGCATTTCGTCCTGGAGAGCTGACTGAGAAGCAACAAGTTGATCTTCATGTGACCAAGACCCGACTTGTCTGGTCGTGCTTGCGGAGGTGGGGGAAACATGTGAACACATTCCATGTGACAAGCGTGTTCTCTCTTGGCATTCGCATTGGTTGTGTGTGAGCTGGAATTGTTTTCTCTCCCCTGCAGTCTTTGGCGCAACTCCAAATCGAGGAGCAGAGATCCCACCCTTCAAGCTTTGAAGGATAGCATGCGCAAACGGGTTGACGGTGTGAAGCCCGCGGCAAGCGAGGAGGCAGAGCTTCATGAGCTGTGAACTGTGGTGAACTGTGTACTCAGTGTGATTGAATGGGGATTGTGAGCTGGACTTTCTCAGTGAATGCATGTGTCCTGTGAGGAGGATATAAAGGCGCTGAATGACATGGAAGATATCGATGAGAGCTCTGATGTATCTGCGAAGGTGTGGGAGAAGGCGGGCATGCACAATGCATGTGTGGTGTCATGAAGCCCAGAGGACATTCACTTACCTTGCACTTCTGGGAGGTTCTTGATGAGCCACCGCGTATGGAGTGTGGTGGGACTGTGGGGCCTGTCATGGTGAAGCCTCATGGAGACCCACTTGAGGTACCATGCTACGATGAGGACTGCGATGATTGCAAATGCGAGGACTCTCAGCAGCTCACTCAAGCAGACCCCGATGTCGAGATTGAGTCGCCTCACAGCTCAGATTCCTCCAGCCCCACTGATTATAGAATATATCAAATTGACCATGTGCCACTGGATCCATCCCAGAAAGAATCCTTGCATCGAGAGATGGCCCATGAATGCTTGCACTCCGATGTTCCTTGTTTGCTTTCAGCTTGCTTGCTCTTCACTTTTCATGAGAACGGTCAACCAACTTGTTCTGGTTCTGTGGTCAAGCTGCCTCAGGTTCCTCGTGGGTTGAAGCGGCATATGTCGAAGATTTGGGAGGACGCCCCACCAGCTGTGGATCTCAAGGTGCCAGAGGATCAGAAGGAGAAGCGCAAGAAAAAGAAGAAGAATAAGGCCAAGGCTAAGAAGACCAAAGACAAGAAGGTGAAGGAAACAGCAGGCGCTGTGTTAATTGCTCTCGCGATGGCTGTTGTTCTCACCGCTGGTCATGCAGGCGCGGCTTCGGCTTCATCAAGGCCCGATGTGCGGGTTCGCACACCAGATTCAACTGCAGGTCCTAGCCTGAGACAATGAAGTGAAGTAGCATCAAGAGCCTTTCCATTCCTTTCCCAACCAAAGTTGCTGCAGACTTCTTTTCCATGAGTTGTCAAACCTTGACACTATATACTTCGCGGGGGTACTCTCTTAAGTTGCAAAGTTCATGTTTCTCTGTGGTTCCAAACGGACCCCACCAAGTCTGAGTGTTTACATCCTTTTTCAAGACTTGGTGGGGTCCGTTTAAGACTTAGTGGGGTCCGTTTGGAATGCCAGAGAAACAGGAAATGTGGCACTCTTGAGGTGTGGATGGGGAATCTGTCGTTGAGACCTTTGAGGAGGCCTACCGCAAGGTCATTGGTGGACTTCCTGAGTATTTGCATCCAAAAAGCGCGAAACATGGCATCCATTCTTACACCACGCACCTAGCCTGCAATCTGTTGCATATTGACCGTACATGGCCAAGCATGAACCTCAAGCCATCCCACTCCTCTCATTTTGTGGTCCTATTTATTGTTCACAAGAAGTATGGACCCAAATATTATAGTCAAGTCTTATGCTCCGAGGTATCTGAATGGTGCTCGGGTGGAGGTGCTCTTGCGGAACAAAGCCTTCAAACCCAAGACATCCAAGGACGGCAAACCTTTGCCGAAAGAGAAGGCTTCCCAGAAGCTTGACATATTCATAGACTGTGCCTCTCAACCAATGTCTTTTTGTTTTGAGGAGGGCAAGCCCAACTGTCCAACCCCTGCATGAGTGTTTAAACAAGTCAAACGATTTGCGCCACCGTCTGAGGATCAGCTTCCAGAAGGACTTGGATGGCGCTATTTTGAAGCTGTGGGAAGCTGTTGATGTTGAAGCTGAGTGATTTACTTAGCCCGACCCGGGCTATGTAGAGTGCAAAGCCCTCACTGAAGTATTTCCATGAAGTAGAGTAAATACACCAATGTGTTTGGATTCAACATGAGGCTGTTCCAAAGAGTGAGGGTTTGCTAGGGTTTTGCTGACGCTTTCCATTAGGGATGGAGCGCGTGGATAGCTTCTGAACCGATATCTGGGGCGCCGAACAAAAGGCTAGGTCCTGCAAGCAGGTTCGGAGCAAGCCGGGCTTCATATGCTTGGGGGGTGGCTGTGACACATACCTGACATCTGAGGAACCTTATGGTGAGCCGTTGTGCCATATCCATCCTGATCCTATCGGCGCTTGGAGTGCCATGGGCATTAGAGCAACCAAGCTCCTCGGTCTTGGGATTCCACCCGGCTATGCAATTCATTGCGAAGAAGTTCAGCATGCACAAGGCTTGGCATGATTTGGCATGTAAGTATGTAAGTATAGAGAATCACTTCTCATCAATGCAAAAAAGTAGTGTGAAGGAACATGTGTGACCACTTGTTGTCAGGTGTGGATTTGGTTGGGGAGCTACGGCCACAGTTGCGCCTCGCCACAACAAGTGGACTACCTATTAAAGGGAAGGTGGCCATAAAGTATCCCAAACCCGTTTGTATCAACGGCGCTGCTAGATTCACTCAGGCCCCAAGCCGACCTATGTCTACTCGAATTGCCCCCACATCTTGAAGGAGCTGTACTTACCACTTCTGGAGAAGGAATGGAGCGCTCAAATGGTGAACCGGTGCGCATGGGTTTTCCAACTTAGGCTTTCAGACCATCAGTCTTGATTGTAGGTACGTGGACTCACAGGGAAAAGCACGTGTATGTGGGGCTGACGATCTCAAGCAGTCTCAGCATTACCCAGTTATGTTTGGAAGGACTGCAGCTGCTGGTGAAATAAAACAATGCAGAACCAACTACCCAGTTATGTTTTGAAGCAGGTGATCAGTTGGAAAGGTGGAAGAATTTGAACAGTTGGCAGGACTGTGGCTGAGATGACCCTGAAGTACTTGCAGAAAAGCCAAGAGGAAGTTCGATCTCGCAGGCCATACTCCCCCTCCATCGGGCCCACTGCTTCTGTCCTCTTGCGCAGGCGTTGGTTGAAGAAGCATCCACAACCTGAGATGCAGGACTGCAATGTTTGACATGCAAAAACTCACAATGCACAAACGCAAGATGCACTATATAATATGTATATATATCTAGTATATACACCTTAAGTTTTATATAAACTTCAATTAAGATATAGAAAGCTACTTTCACGCTTTCACGGCTACTTTCACGGTTTCACGGGTTCTATCTTCAGCTACTTTCACGCTTTCACGGCTACTTTCACGGTTTCACGGCCCACACTTTCATGGATGTATGTTTTCATGCTTCCAGGACATTGGATGGGCCAAGATGGCAGGGCTACGTTCCGTGATCCAGGCGCTGCACACTTGAGCGCTGCGTTTGATGTGGGTGGGGGACCCTCTGCAGAACAATTTCTCTAAGCTCATGGCGAACCTAGTGCCTCCTACTATACTCGAGATGGTTCAGAGGGCCCCACTGCCACTAGACAATTGGACATGCAGCAATTTAGAGAAAGACTGCAAACAATTAGTGTACCAGCACCATGTTTGGACAACCCGTGAATCCGTGAAAAAGCCGTGAAATCCCGTGAAAAGCCGTGATTTTCATGGGTGTTTTCATGGTTCAATTTTCTTTCAAAAATTATGCACGGACATGGTGCTGGAATGAAGTCTGAGCGGTGATGGGTCTGTGAAAGGGGGGTTCACACGTGTGTGCAGGAAGTGTTGTGCAGCCATCAACCATGCTTGCAACTCTTCAACACACTATGTATGTTTTTCATTCAAATGCGCGCAAGTATCACTGTGTATACTGCTGAGGGTTTTGGCTGAGTGTGACACGAACTCGGAAACCTTCAGTTGCTATGCCGACAGCGCAACTTAAGAGGGCAAGGACAAAGACACCGGAGGCAATGCTGCTCAGGACACCAGATGCCAAGAGCTTAGCAAAAGCTGAAGGCATTCTGAAAAAGAAGGGAAAAGACAAAAAGAACAAAAGCCTGGTTACTGTTCACAACTGTGGTAAGCCACTACGGAGGTCTCTTTCTTTCAGCGATGCAGTGGACGTTCGACAGATCGAGGCTGAAAACCCTGCTCCTGGTCCTAGCAAGGTACCCAAAGGTAAGGCTATGTCACAAGAGGAAGCTGACAAGATCCTCGCGGCTGTCCCAGCTCATATCTCAGGGTTCTGAATTGTTTGTGTGGTGTGCAGTTTCACCCCTTTTCGAATTGAAATGCATATGATGTACATGTATATATGTATATATGTCTAGACTTGTATGTAATAAACTTTGAGGCCAAGTCTGCTGATGCATCTGCTTCTGAAAGTGATGGCGGTGGTGATGATGATGAGGCACAGCTGATGTTTCTCCTTTCTCACTTTCCATGCACCTTTGTTTAGTCCTTTGTTTCTTCTGGCATCATCTTGGACACCATCGCTGTTTTTCCATTCACCCTGCACGAGGGCAGCTCCAGCGAATCTTCTGGTGAAGGTGCCGCATCTCGCGAGGCGCAGTCATCCAATCCTGCCCCTAAGACTCCAAACTTGGCCTACCCTGTCACAGACCTCCGAAGATGGAGAGTGCCAGGGTCTATTTGGGGTTACCTTGCCAAGGCAGAAGTCAAGGCAGAAGCAAAGAAGAAGAAAAAGGATGGAGACGAGGAAGAAGACGAGGACACAGAAGACTCAACGAGTGAAGACGAAAATGAAGATGAGGATGATGACTGCTCCACCGAGGTAGGCAGTGATTCAGAGGATGAAAGCTCGCAGGAGGCTGCTGCAGAGATAGCAGCAAAGGAGGCAGCAGAGAAAAAGAAGAAGGAAGAGAAGGCAAAGGAAGCAGAGCGGAAGAAGAAGAATCCTATGGAAGGGAAGAAGAAGAAAGAGGTTAAAGAGGAGAAGCAAATTGAGAAAAGCAAAAAGAAGAAAGATGAAGAGGGTGAGAAAGTTAAGAAGAAGAAGGAGGACGATTCAAAGCCTGTGAAGAGGAAGGGGGAAGAAGAATGCGTGAAGCCAAAAGGCAAAAAGTCTGATGATGCAAATGAGACGAGCAAAAAGTCGAAAAAGAAGAAGGTGACCAAAGATGATGAGAGCACAGAGGATGAAGATGAGACGAGCAAGAAGTCGAAAACTAAGAAGGTGCCCAAAGATGATGAGAGCACACAGGATGAAGATGAGGAGAGCAAGAAGATGAAGAAGACTGAACGCGAGAAGTCGACCGGCAAGAAGAAGGAATCCAAAAGGGATGATGCAGGCGCAGAAGAAGAAGAGAAGACCAAGAAGTCGACCCGCAAGAAGGAATCCAAAAAGGGTGATGAGAGCGCAGAAGAAGAAGGTGAGAAGTTGAAGAAGTCGACCCGCAAGAAGGAATCCAAAAAAGGGTGATGAGAGCGCAGAAGAAGAAGGTGAGAAGAGCAAGAAGTCGACCCGCAAGAAGAAGGAATCCGAAAAGGATGATGAGAGTGCAGAAGAAGAAGGTGAGAAGAAGAAGAAGAAGGTTGCCCGCAAGAAGAAGGAATCCAAAGAGGATGATGAGAGCGCAGAAGAAGAAGGTGAGAAGAGCAAGAAGTCGACCCGCAAGAAGAAGGAATCCAAAGAGGATGATGAAAGCGCAGAAGAAGAAGGTGAGAAGAGCAAGAAGTCGACCTGCAAGAAGAAGGAATCCAAAGAGGATGATGAGAGTGATGAGAGTGCAGAAGAAGATGATGAGAAGAGCAAGAAGAAGTCTGCAAAAAAAGGCGCAGGCAAAGATGAGGAGAGCAAAGAGCTAACAAAGAAGAAGAAGAAGAAGTGTGAGGAAAGCTCTACAGAGGACGAGGAGGAAGGGGGAAGTGGGTCAGAGAGTGAGGCAGAGAGTGAGAGGAGCTCAAAGGGCAAGAAGCGCAAGTTGTCAGGTGGCGAAGAGGAAGCAAAGGGCAAGAGCAAGCTCGCAGAGGCAGAAGACAAGATGGCCAAGACGGTCAACTCCTCTAGCCACCGAAAGGAGTACATGCAGTTCAAGCGATGGATCGGGAACAAAAAGCGGTTTCCATCAAAGCTGACTTCGGCGCTGCAAAACAAGGAAAGCCGCGACAAGATGTTCCACGACTTCGTTGAAGCAGGTGGGGACATAGATCAAGTGCTCCTGAAGCATGAAGCGCGGCTGGAGGAGTCTCAGCGGAGTGAAATCCGTTGGGGCTTCAGGCCACTCAAGTGGCTTCAGGATCGACATGGAGAAAGCAAAGCCGCGAAGTTGGTCAAGCGGAAGACTGATCTGGGATTGCTTCTTGTCTTCTAACCGAGTTGCGTTTACACATGTTCTGTTTCAGCCACTACTCGATTTTACAGTCAGCTGTTGGCCGAGGACCATCACTGACCCTGAGCTTCCAGATGATGATGAAAAGCTCTACTTTACGATCATCAACTTGGACATGGCAAGCTTGAGCGAGGTCAGGAGGCTTACGTCTCTTGAGATGGAGGGTCGCATTGACCAAGCTGGCATCGATGCCTTCGTCAAGGCCGCTGCTTTCTCAAGCTTTCTTTCCAACCTATAGCTCACTCCAACCTATAGCTCACTGCTTAAGTGGTTGTTCCTTTCTCAGGGTGGTGGAGTGTTGGACCCGACCTCCCAGCTGAAGATTGGTGAGATGGCGGGTGCGCCTGGCATTGCTAAGCTCATGGGTGCCATGGGTGAGTGCAGTAAGAAGGGGAGGAACAAGAGGCAAAAGGAAGAGAACAACACCAATGGACCAGGTGACACCAAAGAGGCCTGTTTGGATACCTTTACTAGCTCTTCTTCCTTGACCTGTTTCAGCTCCTTTGCCAACCGTTTGCGAGGTCGTGCCCGAGACACCCTTGACCAGAGCCACAACCCTTCTGACCAAAGTCTTGAAGGATGTAAATGAATGCAGGTGTGCCCCCAAGTGTGCTTAGTGTAGCTTATTGTTATATGCCTATCTATCTATCTATCTATCGATCTATCTATCTATCTATCTATACTTGTGGCGTGCTTACCATGCCCTCAGTCTGTGCGCTGAGGACCCAGGCCTTTCGATTGCAGCCCCTCAAGATGTCGCAGGACCTGATTGCTCAGCTTACTGCTGTGGCCGTCAAGCTTGAGGGGTGTGCCAATAGGTTGCAGGAAAGTATCAAAAAGAAGAAGTCCAAAAATAAGCACTATCGAGAAGTGATCGAAGAGGCACATGTACTTTCATTGCATTACAGGAGGTTTATGTTCACAACCTCACCTTTTTGCAGGTGAACAGACTGACCGCTTTGGCCAGGGACCGCTTAGAACTAGGAAGGGCTTTGGTCAAAGCGTCTGAGAAGGCAGGCAAGGCAAAGCCTAAGGCAAAAGCCAGCCCTGCATCATCAGCCAACTCAGCCAAAGCATAGAGAGCAGGCATGTTTGTTGATTCAACTGATGTTCAGTTCCAAGGCCACTTGTTTGTAACTATCAATGCTTTCAGCAAAGTACCCACACGCAATCTATACATGTGCTTTTGTGACACAATGTCTGCAAGTTTCAAACCGATCTGGATGCCGTTTCCGCAAGTGTGGGGTGAACTTCACAAACAGTGGGAATACCTACTGGCCTAGTGTGAAGAGCGATCAACTGGGGTGGCTTGCTGGAACCAGAAAAATGGGGGACACTTTCGCCCACGGCGCATGTGCAAACAGAGTTGTAGCTGATACCGAGCTATCGCGATTCCCGCCGCAGGTCCAGATCAAGGTCCCGACCCCGAAGAGATCGAGATCATCCATCGAGCTTTGATCACCTTTCAGGACTCTTTCTGAAGCCAAGACTGAAACCACCCCAAGATTGACATGGTTTAACTTCGAATCCAAGACTCCAAGATTGAAACCATCTCAACATTGAAACCACCCTAGCTTCGTCAAATGACACTTCAAAAACCCAATATTCTTGGACCCTACTCAAGGACCAGAGTTGGTGGCCCGTGGGTGTGGAACTGCGAAGCGCATCTTCAGGAAAATTTGCAGTGGGGTTTCTCGCTCACCGCGCAGTAAGTTTTATTTTAATGCTTTGCCTTTCACCAGGGTGTTTGGTTGAGGCCACTTTGTTTTGATCCTTGTGATTACAGCTCTTAGGCGACTTCTGTTGCTGATGGCTGCTCCGAAGCGAGAACACTAGTTCAAGATGGTCAAACCTGCCCGCTGTCTACACTCTTAGCATCGTGGTCCATCGGCCATGAAGAGCGATCTTTTCAAAGGAAGCTTGAGTCCATTAGGGTTCAACAATATTTTTTATTTGGTGTGGTGGTTTGGTGTGGTGGTTTTACCTCCTCGCCATGCCCCCTCTTTTGGCCAATCTTTTCAAAGGGAGCTTGAGTCCATTAGGGTTCAACAATTGTTTGATTTGGTGTGGTGGTTTGGTGTGGTGGTTTTACCTCCTCGCCACGCCCTCTTTTTTGGCCATGAAGAGCGATCTTTTCAAAATTTTTCAAAGGAAGCTTGAGTCCATTAGGGTTCAATAATTGTTTGATTTGGTGTGGTGGTTTTACCTCCTTGCCATGCCCCCTCTTTCTTCGACCTTGCTGGCCTGAAATCGAGGTGGTGCGCTTTGAAGTGCCACATCAAGCCTGAGCTTGTCGACATCAACGGTCGAGAAACTGGTGTTCTATTCCCGTGGGATGTCTTGAGCTACCTCTATTCAACGGGAAAGTTGGAACAGTGGGTTTGTGGTGTGAATAGTTCTGAGACGTGTAGAGAGGAATGCTTACAGTATTGGAATCACGTATCCCATCTTGATTTCATCACTGACTTGGGACTGCACAGTGAACAATCAAGAAGGAATACGATACCTCTCTGTTGGCACACCGATGGGGTAAAGATCCACAAGACACACAAGGCTTGGACTTATTCTTGCGCCTCCATGCTTCACAAGGGTGGAGCAACTTTGGGTTCCAAGCTTCTCCTCCTATTGGTGCGTGACGCCGATATGGTCAAATACAAAACCCACGACGCTGTTGCAAAGTTGATCGCTTACATCATGGATAATCTCATGTCAGGAACTTTTCCAACCTTAGACCCCTCTGGCAACCGGTGGGCAGAGGGGTCCAGGGAGGCTGAGCGTGCAGGTCAATTGTTTGCTGGAGGGATGTGTTGTGCATTCTCAGCCTTTAAAGGCGACTTGGAGGCCAGGGTCTTGGTGCACAAGCTGGTTCGCAATTGGAGTTCCAATTCCATTTGTGAACATTGCCTTGCTGGGAGGGCGGCTGACGGCTTTTCATACGGCGACTTTAGTGACCGGGCGGCGTACATGGAATTCTTTCTTGACCACCACCAGTTCTTGTTGCTGAACCCTGCTGACCGGCAATCAGGTTGGATTGAAGTGAAGGGCTGGAGGAAAGATCGTAACCTAGACGACATGTTACATTGTCTTCATCAGGGCGTCGCTCCGATCGCCATAGCTTCATTGGTCACTCATCATTTCGAAGACTCTTGCATAGATCCGGCAACTACACTTGCAAAGCTTGACCGCTGCTTATCTACTATCGCCTGGCCCCACTACCAAAGATGGAAGCGTGCTAAGAATAAGGTTGTCGCGCCCACCAGCAGTAGATTTTCTGCCAAAAGCTGCAACCGGGAGAGGTGGGTCAGCTTTCCTGAACTTGCATCTGTGTACAAGGGGGCGCAAGTGAAATATTTAATTTTCTGGCTTCGTGACTTCTTGCTTGAAAAGATGGAAGAGGAGCAAACGGCTGGTGCTCGGACAAGGGCCTACTGTGCCTACACGTTGGCAGAGTTTCAACTTCTCCAAGAGAAGAATGGTGCATGGTTGAGTCCTGAAGTTGCTCAAGAAATGTCGCACATGGCAAGGACTTTTCTTCTCTTCTACCAGAAGTTGGCAGGCGACGCTCGCCGGGACCATCATGATCGACGCATGTATAAACTGGTCCCGAAATTCCATAGCTTGCTTCACGTGGCCCTAGACATACCGCAGACGTTGAGGAACCCACGTTATGACCACCTTTATTCTGACGAAGACTTTATGAAGCAAACATCGAGGATTGCAAGCAGGACACACCCAAGCACGATGGACAAGGTCACCTTGTATCGCTACCGAGCGTTGATTGAACTCTTCGACTGTTTCGGCTGAAAAAACAACTCAGCTGAGCTTCCCAACTGCGGGTGCGGGATGGGCCACGCGGTCCGGCTAAAGCATGTGAAGGTACCATGCACATGTTAAGTGTCAGTTGCTGTGGTAGGTTTTTGAAAAGTGCCCCTTCTAAGGACTCTAGAGCGGTGGTGGTTTTTTGAACGTATTCCCTCCAGAATTTGCAACTTGATCCGATGGGCAGCAGTTCCAGAGTTCACGGGTGAAAAGAAAGGGTTTGCGGTTATCCAGTGTTGTTCTTTTTAACTCTACTGTCATCTTACGTGCCAATCCCACCTCGCAGGTCATTCTGCCTCACTTTGGGGAGACCCTTTTAAAGCCAAACCCAGGTGGACAAACCCAGTTTAACAAAAAGGCACACACACAAAACACACGGCACGCGCGTGCGCATTTTTGAGGTTAGGGTTTTATAGGTACATATATACATGTTAACGAGAAACTTCCGAGTTACCGCGGCTCAAGGCCAGCTATGGCACGTATAGTTGCCCAGTTAAGGCGTGAAAGCAAAGCCATCCACCATACACTCGGCTCAAGGCTGCAGCTATGGCGTATATAGTTGCCCAGAAAAGGCGTGAAAACAAAACCACCCACCATGCCTTCGGCTCCAAGCCAGCTATGGCATATATAGTTGCCCAGAAAAGGCGTGAAAACAAAGCCATCAAAAGCGTGAATATTCTGAATGCTTCCAAATGCCGACTTTAGCATTCTGATGCAATGAAGTTGTCAAACTCACACATCCGGGTTCTGCAGGTCATCATCGTCACCCTTTGTGGGGCCGCTCTCGTACATCGTCTGCCAGGGCTTCTTCTCCTCATCTTCCACCAGCCAATACCCAGCAGCATGGATAATATCAGGCCCTGACTCTCGCCGTCCGCAGCTGGGTCCACAGACATGCAGCTGGAAGATGCGCCTCAAAGGGTCGGAGAGGAGCTCGGTCATGTGATCCGATTGCGTCCCAGTGGCACGGAAAGTCAAGTACTCCTCATCCTTTCCAAGGCCCTCCACGAAGCCTGCCAGCTTGATATGCCCCTCATAGTACGATGCCTGAGCGAGCTCCACCAGGCCTAAGGTCCTGAGTTGCACCGCGGCTAGCTCTCGGAAGGAGTGCAGCTTGATGACTTTTTTGTCCACCTCCTCTCGAAGGGCAGGCCTTTTGCGAAGGGCTGATGTCCTGACAGCCGGTCGAGCTCGGGGAGGCATCACCTCCGTCTGTTAAAGAGCTCTTGCTTGGCACGTCTCGTAACCCCCTCATTTTTTCCAGCCCACCAACGAGGATGACTGCTGTAAGGCACTCGGCCTATCCAACCAGGGCCTTGCGGGACTGCTGGCCTTCTTGGGGGGCGCACCGGCGGTGGCCTCACCGGGGGCTGGCGTACCGGCGGGGGAGCCGGTGGAGGACCGGGAGGTGTATGGGGGCTCGGAGGCCTGACCGGTGACTTGAGTCTCACGGCCTCTGTCTTCTTGGCCTCACGGACACGGGAACCTGTCACCGAAGAGCTTTCAGATCGCGATCTTCGTCTCCGGCGGCCTCTGTCCTTCTTCTCCCTCTGATCTCTCCTCCGCTTCTTTTTGTCTCGCCTTCGTGAACTGGGAGATGAGGTCGACCTCTCCCGTTTCCTTCTCTTTCGTTCTTTCTCCTTTCTGGCACAGCTAGGCTCCTCCGGGTCCTCCTCAACCTTTGCCTCTCTGGTCTGAGGTGCTGTCTTGCCTTTGGGAGATCCGGCCTCCCTTTTCTCGCGTCGCTCAACTGGGGGGTCTGGGTCTCGGTGGCTAGGTTTTGGCACTCTGACAGTCTGGGAGCTGTGGCCCCTGGTGGCGCTCCCTTGAGGTGCCTCTGAAGGCGGACGCGGTGGCGGCAGGGGAAGCTTGTCAGCGACCCTGCTTGAACTGGATGGGCGACTGGTAGCTGGAGGGGGCTGGTCTGACTGGTCCTTGGCTGGGTTCTTGGCGGGTTCGGCTGGGCGATGCACTCTCCTTGGGCTGTCGGGCTCTGTAGGTTTTCCTTCTTTCTCCTCGGGCTTGTCACGGGGCTTTTCCTTGGCTTGTCGGTCTCGCTTGGTCAGTCCTTTGATCTCCTCAAGCCAGTCCTGAAGAAGTCCAAAGCACCCCTCCAGGAACACCACGGCGCTCTCGTCCTTCCCCAGAGGAATGACGTTTCGCACCGAGACCAGAAGCTGGTAAGCTTTCCGGCACGGCGCGCAGGTGCTCACGCCGCTCTCACGGCAGACGAAGTGTCGGCACCTGTCGCACACTGGGA